TATATATATAGCGCGACACAGTTGGTTGAATGTGACTGCATAAAAGATGATTGTCGTCGTGCACAATTCAAACCCACTTCTGGACCTTTGTTCTCTCCTATTCGTGCGCCCTCATTTACGTGCACAATTGTTTGAAAAGGACATGACGCATTCTCAGTGTAGCTACTAATGCTTGAAGCAGTTCGGCCCTTTTCACATAAATAAATAAATAAATATAAAAAACATTTTTAACAGTCCACAATAACTGCACAAGAAAACACATATTAGACACACAGTCGTTCCTAAAGTTAATATTTGACTCTTGTTTAATGATTGCACCGTCAGCTTGACAAAAATAAATACATTTAAACGTCTCTGGTTTCACTCTGAGGCAGTTTTTATCAACTCTTTGTGATCTTCCACCACACGTGTAACGTATCTCTGCTGTAAAACCAGAAATTCTTGTCTGAACACACAAAAGCTCCACAGCTCAGTTTTCATCGTTCAGTGGCGACCTACAACAAGCTTTGTGTTTTTACTCCACCTAATGTTTTGCACTTTGCTACGGTTTTGCCAATTTTTGCTATTCATACATACCATAAATTTTAGCTTTTAGCTCAGATTTGACTAATTTTACCTTTTTTATTTGTATTTTATTTATTTATTTATTTATTTATTTTGTTGTAATTTTAGCTATTGGCTATGCTTTGGCCAATTTTTATTTTTTGCTATGATTTTACAAGTTTTACCTCCTAGCAATAGTTTAACCAATTTTAGCTTTTAGCCGTGGTTTAGCGAAATTGACCTTATTTGCTACGATTTTGCAAATTTTACCTTTTTGCATTAATTTTGCCAGTTTTAGCTACTGGCTACAGTTTTGCCAGTTTTAGCTACTGGCTACAGTTTTGCCAATTTTAGCTACTGGCTACAGTTTTGCCAATTGTAGCTATTGGCTACAGTTTTGGCAATTTTAGCTTTTGGCTTTGGTGTTTCTGCTTCAAGCGTTTGGCTGTGGTTTGGCCAATTTTTACCTTTTTGCTATGATTTTACAAGTTTTACCTTCTAGCTATAATTTAGCCAATGTAGCTTTTGGCTGTGGTTTAGCAACATTTACCTTTTTAGCTACAATTTTACCTTTTTGCGTTAGTTTAGCCTGTTTTAGCTACTGGCTATGTTTTTGTTCATTTTAACTACATGCAATGGTTATTGCTTTTCCACTTTTAGCTTGTGGCTGTGATTTGGCCAATTTTAGCCTTTAGCTAGGGTTTTACTAATTTTAGTTTTTGACTGCCGTTTGGCTAATCAATGCTGCTGTTCTGCTTGTTTTAAATAACAGTTCACTTTCAGCTACTTCAACAAATTTCATCAGTCACTCAGCTCCCAGTAGAATACTGACCCGCAGCTGATCATCACCCACTTACCTGAAGTTGCCGTCATCAAACACCCGAAGCAGAAACATTAGCAACATTCCTACAGACAGGATCGTTGTGATCGTTTGTGTTTACGTCTTCAGATCCTGTCTCCTCTGGGCCGGATCAGCGAAGCTCTGAGCGATTTGACCAAAGCCATCCAGCTGCAGCCTTCGGCTCGTCTCTACAGACACAGAGGAACTCTGCTCTTCATCTCAGAGGTCTGACCCTCAAACACCTGCACGTTCTTATCGTCCTACGTTCTGACCTGGTGTTCTGTTATTCAGGATTATGTGGCAGCTATGGAGGACTTCCAGCGCTCTTTAGAGCTCAAGAAGAATCAGCCCATCGCCATGCTTTATAAAGGCCTCACCTTCTTTCACAGAGGAATGCTGAAGGTACGATTCCCTCAAACAGCTCATGAAATAACCTTCAGCTCTGCTCACTTAATGACGCACTGATTGATTTGGTTGATTATGAATTTCCGTAGCTGGTGTCATCTCACTGCATTTTTTTTTGGTGCATAAAGAAATAAAATAGAAAATAATTTGAACATTTTTGTTTGATGGTTTTACAGCAAGCTGTTTTATGACGTCCAAAGAAAATCCACCTCTTATAAGAAGACAAATCATATTTATTCATTCCTCAAACAGATATAACGATGGCTGATCGTCCTCCTGGACTGGTTTATCAGCTCAGAGATAATCCCTTTGACCAACAGCATGCGTGAATTTTCCTGTTTCACCTCATCAAATCGATGGTCTTTGTCACAGATTTATGGAAGGAATCTGTAAATAGTTGAACACAATCTTGTTTACTAAGAAGCAGCAGATGGCAGGTTTGTTTTTTGCCGACACAGACCGAGCTAACGGCTTCGCCCCAGTTTTAGACCGATGTTGAGAAATGATGGAGTTGTAGCCGTTTTGATCAAACCTTGAAAATAACAGACGATGTCACGAAATGTCACACTCAGTGTTGTGAATGACTTTCAGCTACTTCCGCATCAAATTTAGCTAAATTTCTGTAAAACTGACTGAGTTATTGTCATTTTTATTGGTTGTGGTGGCCATTTTGAATTGGATTGACTCCCAAAGTTATTCAACTGTAGACGTACATCCTTTGATTTGTCCGAGAGTTTTATTAAAATTTGCCCAGTGCTTCAGACATGCACACAGCCATGGGCAAATCATTATCACCCACCTTTGCATTTTGCTAACAAGTTATAAATTTAATCAGATTTTCATTAAACTTTGCACAGATTCTCAAATCTACGTATTTAAGCAGCTTTTTTTATTCAAACTACTGCAGATCTGCCGATTCATGACATTATTTTTGTCTCCTAAATATCCAAACAAATGGTCATATGCATTAAATACTAAAAACTTTTGTCAAAAAGGCAAACTTTAAATAACTTTTTGGTAAATAGCAACAAGGTATTTGACTTGTGCATTTGCTTCCTGTGACCTTTAGTTTGCAAAAAAATTCAATGTAAAATCCTAAATATCAACATTTACTTGTAGGTTACATTGGATAAAGGCTATGCAACTAAAATTTTGTTGAAAAATTCTGGGTCCATGCAGTTGAGGTCTGAACCTTTTGCAGAGACAATTCTCTGTCTCTTAGTGCAACTTCCTGTCATCTCTGTGTTTAAAAAGCTGTTTATTTTTTCATCAGGAAGCCATTGAGACATTTAAAGAGGCGCTGAAGTTGAAGGCTGACTTTATAGATGCCTATAAGAGCCTCGGGCAGGCTTACAGGTACAGTTTGACATCTCTTTTTTTTGTTTGAGAGAGAATTTATCATATGGGTTTTTTGGGACTCGGTGGCCATTTCTCTAACGTTTGTGTGTTTCCTCTGTTTAGAGAGTTAGGTGATTTTGAATCAGCGATGGAGAGCTTCCAGAAAGCTCTCATGTTGAACCAAAACCACATCCAGTCTCTCCAGCTCCGAGGCATGATGCTGTACCACCACGGCTCTTTGCAGGAGGCCATCGGCAACTTCAAGGTACTTAATTATCCTATAATCATCTCATTAATCAAATAACCCACACAGAGGATGTGAGAAGATCTTTTCAACCCAGGTTTACTTCTCGCAAGGGGTGCAGCATTGAAAACAGGCTTACAACGATGTTATACGAAGCCCCTATACAACAGCTCACACTTTTTGAAGATGTCAGAAGTTATCAGTTATTAGACTCCTTCCTCTGAGTAGACAGAAAGACTCTCTTGACTTCACGTACATGGTTCTATATTAACATTAGTAAGTGAAAACATCCGTGACCTTTACGTAACTTCCCCCATCAAAATCCACATTGGAGTATGGCAAAGTTGTTCCAGCTCTGTCAGACAGTCCTATGCCGCTGATCTTGTTTTAACCTTTTAAAAACTGTAAAATAGATGATTGTATTGCAGTTTATGCCACAGTGTTTACACTGAGGGATTTTTACGTTTCCTCTCCAGAGATGTCTTCATCTGGAGCCCTACAATGAAGTTTGTCAGTACATGAAGGGGCTGAGCCACGTGGCCATGGGGCAGTTCTACGAGGGCATCAAAGCTCAGACTAAAGTCATGCTGAACGACCCGCTGCTGGGACAAAAGGCCAGCTCCGAGTACCTCAAAGTGAAATACCTCAGAGGTTAGTGGAACACAGAAATAAAAATGATTGAGTGAAACGAGCGCTTGTGAAGATACGGGTTTGTTTCAAACACGAGGTGTACAGATGGTTTGTGGAAAAACAGATGCTTTGATTAGGGCTTAAATATCACTTCCCACCTGAAACACCTCAGTTTGTCGTGGCTCACAGTTAGGAATCGTAAAACACTAGATAAAAATATGTTTTATGGATGAGTTAAATAGAGTCCAATCAGCAGCAACACATTGAACGGATGCTATCAGTGTTGTCAAAGTAATTCATCATCTTAAAGGGATTTTTTTTCGACCATATCAAAGTCTGTTTTTGTGTAAAGGTTACAACTAATCAGTTTGACAGACGAGTTAACAACTAGTCTGAACACGGTCATGACCTGAGTGGATTGCTGGTTTTCATTCTGCAGTTAATTGCATGGAATTCAAAAGGTTTGTTCCAAGCTTGCCATCAGCAGAGTCATGTCCCCCTCCTCTGGTATCCAGGGGTTCTGTTCAGTAGAAGGTTCTTACTTGTTCGACTTTAACACTAATGTAAAATGTCATGAAGTGTAAGGGTCTGTTGTCCCCCATCGTGGAGCGAAGGGGTTAATTGGGGATTGCCTAGTATAAGGCAGCACCTATTATTATCCACCTGACTTGGGATTTCTTAACTTTATATCTTATTATTTCATCAACTTTAATGCGGCCCGAACCGCGACGTGTATCCCCACAGATGTTGTATCAAAACAACCAGCTCGGCGCCACGATGTGTGCTATTACTTTTATTTGCATGTCGAGTTACTATAGTGACGCAATTTGCAAACGAAGACGCCATTTTCCCCATACAAAACGCCTGACGGAACGCTTCTCACTAACTTCTGCTGTGAGGTCACATGACTTGAAGTGGAGAGGTCCCTGAAGAGAACTTAGAAAATCACTGTTAGATTTGTTTGAAAAGTATTATTTAAAGTACCTATTCAGGTAGAATTTGGAATATTGATAGCTGAGAGCAAACCCCAACATGTAGTACTGTCAAATCAATTTAAATTGGCAGCAGCCTGGCAGTCCCTGTCAAATTTTCTCCAGGAACTTTCTAGTTAGAAATACTGTCTATCCATTTGTCTCGTGAGCTTGATAACTTGAAAAATAAATTAGATACAAACTTCCATTTTGGTGTGTGAAAATAAAATTAGGATGCCACATCAAATCCACGATTGATTCTAGAGAGAACGTTTCTTTTTCCAGCGGTGCGGCAGTTCATCGCGTTTGTTAACTTTCATTAGAAAAACTTTTTGGTTTGAACATTTACAAAATGAGGGTTGAAAGAGAAGAAGTGCCACAAACGTCACAATCCGGACAAAACATGCCAAATTATCATTTGTATTTTAGGGTAGATTGTAAATTTGTACATCTGATTTGTTTATTTAATCTTTCTAAGAAGTGACAACTTTTTTTTGTTGATGGTTTTAAGCCTCTAACTATTCCTATATTTTTGAGCTGCAGTTTTATGTAAGGAAACATAATTTACTTTTTTTTATTACTTTATTTTACCAGGAAGAAATCCATTGAGATCATCAATCTCTTTTACAAGGACGTCCTGGAAAAAGATAAAACATCTCAGCTTGGGTTGTATGAGTTGTGAATGTTCTGTTGTGATTTTCTTCCAGAGTATTCTCGTTACTTGCACTCCCACCTGGATATCCCTGTAGCCGAGTACAACGTGGACCAGGACTTACCGGGAAACTTCAAGAACCACTGGGCTAAAAACCTGCCTTTTTTAATAGAAGACTATGAAGAACAGCCCGGCCTGCAGCCACATATCAAGTAAGTTTGATGGATTCATGTCGGCTAATTGAATTGATTTAACCTTACAAACACGTATGTCTAAACAGGAGCGTGTACAGCTCCATCTGTGAGTAAATCAAGCCCACTTCTTTTACTTTGGTACTTAAAACTGGTTGTTGTTCACAAACTAAGCTCACTACTTTGCCACTGCCTTCGTGAAATAAACACCTTGAAGTTGTCAAGTTAGGAGGAACATGTGGCTGAGATCAGACCTACAAAGACCCATGTTTTGGTAAGGTCATAGGTCAGAAAAGTGATCTCAAAAGTTTAATGAATGATCAGTAAAGGTTTATGTGAGTCTGTTGATTAATCAGTAAAAATTGTATGTGTCTGTCAAAGTTAAAGGTATTGAAATAATCAAATGTGTATGTAATCATAATAATTAATCCTCTGTGTAACCTACATTTAGTGATTTTATAAGTTTAATATCGTTTATACTCTTAATCAAAGTTAGACTTGAGGGAAAAGTGACCTAATTTGTGAATAAATGAGTTATCATTAAGTGATTTTATGCGGCTTTAATACCTAAATTGCTGTTAAATCATTACTTTTGAAATCAAATAATGTGATTGAGAAAGAGCGTTTTGATCAGAAATGTTTTACTATTAAGGGGAAAAATACTTTTTGTAATTAAACGTGTTATTACTAGAACTTTCTGTGACGGTCGGCGCAAAACTGTCAGTTGAAGCAAACGGAAGTCAGAGGAAGTTGGAAGGGCGAGGCTGCACCTATCTGTTAGAAATAAAAGGAAGTACAGACTCTGTATCCAAGCAGTTGTTATGCACGAGCTGAGACAGAAGACAGAAGAGGGAAGAAAACAATAGGAAAGAAGAAACAGAAGAAAGAAGACACAAGAGGGAAGAAGAAAGAAGACAGAGGAACAAGAAGAGATCGGGTGGAGTAGATACTGTATAAGGACTGGAGACAAGTAGGACTTGACCAAGCATCTGAAGAAGTGGATTCCAGCCAGAGCCAGAAGGGATTTTGCTCTGTTTCAGCTGAAGTGGAGTCCTCTGCCCGAGGACAACCCCAGATCTTAAAGTTCAAGTCGCAGATTGAGAGAAATCGTACTGAAATTTAGTGCAGCTCCTCAGACTGATGAAGACTTCTGGATAAAAGACGAAACGTTTCAACAATATTCGTTTTTTTTTGTTTTTTTTTCGAATCCGTCCAGAGCACCTGACTTAACTTTGTTAGATTTTTCTACCTGGATTATTGAGCATACATCAGGACATACTGAAGTTCGTTTCAGCAACACAACCTAGATTACTCTGGGGCCAGTTTTCCCTCTTTTCCACAGAAAGGCTGATCTGACATGGAAAGTAAGTAGTCTTCTGAGTCTCTCCATTCTAATAAAATTTAAAGGCTACACTGTTTATGGTTTTCAGGGACAGTAAAATTAGCAAGGAGGTTTAGTTCAGAGTTATATATATATTTTCTCATGGAGGATTTGTGGATGTGAGCTAGTAGCAGTTAGTCCGTGACCGTCCCTGAACTGGTTAGCGCAGCCAGGAGGCTTTGAAGAGCAGACACCCAAGACAACAAAAACAAGAAGAAGAATGGATGAAGAAGATAATCCAGTAACAGGAGGAGAAACGGATTCACACAGTCAGACAGATGATCCAGGTAAAGGAGTCAGTAGACCAGCAATTAATGCTCCAGTGAGGGTGATTCTTTATGGCGAGGGCTTCTCAACCTGGGACCCGTCAGTGCTGCAAATTTTCCTGGAAAAATATGTGGGGTTGTCGAGGGAAGCCTTACGGCAAGCATTAAGTGGGTCCAGACAGAAGGTTGACATCCACTACTGCTCTAAAATAACCGAAGGCCACAGGACAGAGATTGTACAAGATCCGATCAACATAAGAAAGAAAGAAAATATCAAGGAATGGTTGAAGTGGTGGGTGAACCTGCTGGAAGGATGGCAGGAGAAGTTATCCATCATTGTCAGCCCATCACTCAGCTATGATCCATTAGTGAAAATGATAGCCACAGCAACAGGACTTAGCAGTGTCCTAGTAAACACCCAGACAAAAGTAGACCTAAGATATGATGACTACAAGGAAGAGTTGAAAAGAATGCAAGAATATAAAGAAAGAAATAAACTCTCAATAAGCTTGGACAGTGGACCACGTCTGTGTGGAGAAGCTGATGGGGGTAAAGAGTGGAATCCTGAAGAGAGAAGAGGATCGGTCCCAATGGAGCTGGCAACCAGAGAATATGGGTATGAGGGTGACCGGGTCTCAGAAGAGAACCCTGAGCTAAAGAAAGAACCGTTCCATATACCAAGGTCCTACATAACCCCTGTTCCCTTGAGCCAAATAGCCTGGTCGAGCATTAGAAGAAGCGCAACTAGGAAAGACACAGATTCTGAATCAGAAGGCGAGCCACGAGAAAGAAGTGAGGAGAGACAAAGAAAAGCCTCAAGGGAAAAGGAAGCCAAAGAAAAAAAGAAAAATCAAAAACGTAAACCCAGTCCAGTTCAGGTCAGTATGGTGAAGATTCTCAAGCCATTGCAGCATGAGGAGTTAGAAGGGTCCTCCTGCTGCTACTGTGAAGTGCAGCTGAATGAGGCTGGACATCTCTGGGCTGTCAGCTCCTCATGGTGTTGTGATCACTGTGTTGTGCCGAATGCTGTGTCTGGAATCCTTGTCAATGAGGGCCCACAAGATCTGCCTTGTGTGGCTGTCGAGCAGTGCCTAGAAACAGAAACCAGCTGCAGAGTTGTCTGGACTTCGGCTCGGGATGAAGACTTCCGACACTACACAGTAAACCCCATCCTGCAAAACCGATATTACTCTGTGATTAGAAAATTGTGGGAGAATTCAGAGAAGGGGACCCGATTCATGGCCGGACATCTGTTGACTGGTCAGGTGCTGTTCTACGGGCCAACAATGAAGGTGGGACTCTCGTTGACTGGAACCATGCCCCAGCTAGAATCAGCTTTAAACAAAAAAGCAACAAGCGCAACCTCTATTCCTCCTCTACAGCCCACTGAACTACTCAATAAGGACACCCAGAACACAGACCAAGTGTTGATCTGTATTGAACCTTTCTCACAAGGGGAGCACATCCTGAGGGCCACCAGTTCATGTACATCAGAGGTGCAAAGCTCCAAAGAGCACCATTACATGACAGCACCAGAACACATGCCTTCATCACAGGGCCGTGGGCTATGTGCCATAGTGTGTAACAAAAACACCCAAACAAAGCACTTAGCCATTTCTGAGCAGGATTTGGGACAGGACTTTTGTCATAGGGAGCCTCTGTCTTTGCCCACTGTTACCATGGAGTCACCTACCCCCTTGTACTGGGAAACCTCGGTTGCTATCCAGTCTATCTTGGTAGAGGTCCCAAGATTGAGTTCTGAGGGGCCTCTTGTCTCACAGGAGTTCAGCTCACTTCCGCTCCTGCTCCCTGCTGTCGAAGAAGGCGGTAAAGGACAGGACGAGCAGGGTCAGGCAATGACTACCTCTTGCATATTGGAGCCAGTAAGCCCAGCATTGCAATCTGGGCCAATTGATGGTATGGAAAATGATGAAGAGGAGGCTGAAAGTAGGGTGGAACAAAATGAGCCAAGACCCTGGATGGATCAGCACCTTGGTGAACAGAACTCCCACTCACTCTCTGAAACCCCACACCAGCTAAGGCTGAGCCAAGATGAAATTGATATGGATAAGATGGAGGTGGTGGATGAATGGCAACCTCCTGATGAAGAGGATGAAGACCAATACCCTGATGACACCGCGGAACCAGCACTGGTGCCAAGGCAAGAGGTCGTGTTTGGGGAGGTCGAAGAAGATGTTCTCTATATCCACGCAGATGACGAGGAATGGATAATGGATTGAAGTCCATACAGGGGTAGGGTCTGACCTCAAAGATCCATGTTTTGGTAAGGTCATAGGTCAGAAAAGTGATCTCAAAAGTTTAATGAATGATCAATAAAGGATTATGTGTGTGTGTGTTTATTAATCAGTAAAGATGTTTATTAATCAAAGATTTTATGTATCTGTCATTTAAAGGTATTGAAATAATCAAATGTGTATGCAATCATAATAATTAATCCTCTGTGTAACCTACATCAAGTTATTTTACAAGTTTAATTTCTTTTGTACTTTTAATCAAAGTTAGACTTCAGGGAAAAGTGAACTACTTTGTGAATAAATGAGTTATCATTAAGTGATTTTATGTGAGTTTAATACCCAAGTTGCTATTAATTATTACTTTTAAAATCAAATAATGTTATTGAGAAAGAGTGTTATGCTCAGAAATGTTTTATGATTTGGGTAAAAATAAAAACATATACTTTTTGTAATCAAACGTCTTATGACTAGAAATTTCTGTGACTGAAACAAACGGAAGTCAGAGGTAGAAAGAGGAAGTTGGAAGGGCGAGGCTGCACGTAGCCGTTAGAAAATAGAGGAAGTACAAACTCTGTATCCAAGCAGTTATGCACGAGCTGAGTGGAGAAATCTCAAACAGATTAGGCAAGTTGATTTTGAAAAGACAATTTGGTGTTGAAAAGAGGGTGACTGAAAAAAAATCATAGGTCAGGCCACGGAGGCTCCTCAAGTGGGAAGACGGGAGAAAGAAGAAACAGAAGAAAGATTTGAAAGGAACCTAAAAAAGTTCTATCTGGTCCTCTGGACATTCAAAAAAACAAAACAAAGCAAATCAACAAAAAATGTAGAAACGTTTCGTCTCTCATCCAAGAGACTTCCTCAGTCTGAGGTGCTGTATTCAGCTCAGTCTCTTAAATAGCACCTTCTCAGAGTGAATCAACCAGTTTTGCTGCTGACAACCAAAACCAGCTGATCGCATGCTCAAGAAGGACCATCAGCCTAACAATGGATCATTAGCACACTGATGGCTGTTTACTATTCACAGAGGGCTGAGTGATACTAGCAATCACAGCATTGTAAGAGGGGGACTGTTGAACCCGGAGGCCTCCACCCCTGTTTAATGATGGACGATTTCTTTTCACAAAGATGGCCTCTTTTACTCCTCTCTCAAACCATCGTTCCTCTCTATCCAGGATGTGCACATCTTCATCCCTGAAAGAGTGACCGCTGGCCTGGAGATGAGTGTAGAAAGTCTCCTAAAGCTGCTAGCGCTCACTCAAGTGGCTCCTAACATAAAAGCTACTCGCCTTCAAAATAAAAGCACAGCAAGAACCGTTTTTTTCAATTCAGTTTATTTATAAGTTACTACAGAAGTCATCTCAGGGCACTGAACAAAATAATGTGTATACTTAAAAAGTAAGTTAATAACATTATTTATCTGTTTAAAAAAAAAAAAAAGGTTAAAAAAAGCAGACCTTTGGGATTTGCATGCAAAGAAATTATATTTAATTTTTGATTTTTCTTGACGTCCCAGGCTCTAAGATGCACATATGTTACTCTTAGACCAGTAAAATAATATAAATTTTGTTTTGCTGTTCAGACTGGATTTTGTGTCATTGTACATTTAATGAAAAAATCTTGTTTAAACCCAGTGTCACTTCAAACAAATAACTGCAGCTTCTTTTTCACACAGTTTTCCACTTGTTTAACATTAGCATAACATGTTTCATGTGGGAATGACACCCCCCCCACACACACACACACACAGTGTTTTATGCATCTTTGTAAGATTTAAACAAGACAGTCGGATCCAGTGATATAAGATCCATTTTGTCCAAGTTTTCATTTTGAAAACTTGTCATCCATTTTGAATCTGTCTTTATTAGGACTTTCCAGCTGCCATGATATGTATGTGTGAAGTCTAACCAACTGACCACACCTGCCGAGTTTCCTGTCACTTCTTCAAACTCTGTGCTCCTTAACTCTCAACCAACCGTCTAATCTTAACCATAAAAAAAGTTTCTTTTTTTTATTTTTCTTTACAAAAATTTTTTTTGGAAAATTTAGGAATGCTATATTTATTTTAGTATTTATATATCTTAAGGTTTTAGAAACCCTTCATTGCAAAGTTCTAAACTTTTAAACCTACGTAATTTTAAGCACCGTAGAGCACAAAGACGCTTTTAGAGAGAGATGGACCTTTGGATAGCCAGCACAAAACCACAAAATGGTCTAGATCGAGTCCAAATCCAGATGAAAAAGTCCTGGTGACCGGACCTCCAAGCGACGACGCCCCGCTCGAGAGGCCTCATGGGCCGACAAGCAGCTCTCAGATTGACCGATGAGGCTGGAAGTCCAGTTCTGGTACAATTCCCCCGTCTGTTCCGTACGGCTCTCTGCATCCACAGAGCGCTGAAGTCACTATGAATAAGGATCAAACTTTTTCAGATCGGATCCAAACTTTCCCTCCGTTTCAGCAGAAAGCAACGGCTGGAAGCACTGTTGGGGCTTCTGGGTAATGTAGTCCCTTCGAATGGCGATACAGTGTAGGCTTATTGAGAGAAAACTACAAAATGGTGATGCCTGTCCCAAGTTTTTTTTTTTCTCGTTAACTTTTTACTGTATCCCGTACTGTCCCAATCACCTGAGTAATATTAAAGTTGACAATCGTGTGTTGTGTACAATTTTACTTTAAAAAACCGCAAAAGAGCGAGTCCGCAAAAGTCGAACCGCAAAGTAGCGAGGGACTACAGTACTTCTTTTTTATAAAATCACAAAATAGATTACATAGGATCTTTTGATTATAAAAACGTTTGATTATTTTAGCACCTTGACAGACACACATTGTTTTTTTATTTTAATCAACACACACACACACACACACACACACAATGAGTCCTTTATTGAACATTCATTAACTTTTAAGATTCTTGTCCGTATCACCAAACATGGGCCTGTGGGTTTTGACCTCAACATCCACGTAACTTGACAAGTGCAACATTTGACAGCTGCAGTCAACATTACCTGATAGTCCAGGTAGAGTGTCCTAATCAAATGCAAATGGCTTAAAATAAAATAATAATCTCCTGTCAAGTCTCTTTTTCTGAGTATCACAAACAAGAAAAATTAATTCAACCTTTATTTAGACAGGTTAATCCCATTGAGCCTCGAGGACTCATTTACAAGAGAGACCTGATTTCAACAAAGAATGATGACAACAATGGACAACAGTGACAACAATTATAAAAAGGCATACAGATTATTATTATTATTATTTTTTACAAAAAAGATGGCAAAAGAAGTGACAAAAACAGCTAGATTATAAGGCGAATGTGGAAAACTAAAAACGGGAACATGTCTGCATTGGTCCTTGCCAGGAGTCTGGCAAGACACAAATAGTTTGAGCTGGTAACACATAACTACTATCCAGTAAAATAAGTAAACTTTTTTTGTAAGCCTTGAACCACTCCTGTATGTTTGTTTCCTGCAGGGACGTTCTGCCGCAGAACTTTGACAGCTACAGCACCGAGGTCCAGAAGCTGATCTGCAGCGCCGACCACCTGGGAGCGCTGATGCAGTACAACACCCCGGGATTTTTACCCAACAAGAGAATACACAGAGGTGCTGCCGATTAAAGCAAAACGACCAATCGAGTGTTGAAAAGCAGTAAATTAACTGCTTTGTGTTTCTGAAGCCATGGGTTTAGCAACACTGGAGGTGATGCAGGCGATGCATCGAACGTGGAGCAACTCCAAAGTCCGAGTTAACGGAAAGTCGAGACAAATGCAGTGGAGAGACATGTTTGATATCTCTGTCAAATGGAGGAGGTGCGTAACAAGACCAACACTAAAACTGTTTTATTATTCCATACTTAGACATGAGTATACTTTTTAAAAAACTTCTTAGTGCGGTGACTGATGTGCAGGGGAGCAGGCCTGTCCCGATAAACAATAAATCAATTAATTGCATGATAAATGAAAATTATCAACCTCATTTTCATTTATCGACTTTATCGTTTCTTCGTGTCTCTCTTTTTACTGAAGACACTCGATGACAAAAGGCTCAACTACGGTGCTCTTCACTTACCCCTCCCTTTCTCTTTAAAATCCATTTCAACCGTCCAAAATCACATTTTTGGATCATTAAAAGCAGCTAAGCTGAGAAGTTAAGCTACGAGCTAAGCTAATAGGCCGATCTCGCGGGGGAAAAAAACCTCCGTCTTGTCGAAGCTCCAAATTTCACGGTTGAAACCCGTGCCTTTGTGTAAACAATTTTTCTTTGCAAAAAGAAGCTGAGAACTTGTTTACTGATTTTTTATTAAAGCTTTATTTGAAAAATGCTCTGCTAAAGAGCTCAAACCACACCGAGCATCCGCCATTTTGAAAACCAAAAAAAAGGAAAGAGACAGCCCATGTCACGTCAAAGGGCCTCCCTTCTATTTTTATTAAAGAGACATGCTGCTCGCTCCCTCACTATCCATCCTTCAGTCCAAACAGTCTTATACTGCCATATAGTGGTCAAAAAAGGTACTACACACAAACCAAATTAAACATTTATTCTTAATTTGACAATAATTACTAATTATTGTCAAATTTCAAACAATATTATCGTTTATCACAATAATTTCTGAGACAATTAATCGCCCAGCAACATTTGTTATTGTGACAGAAATAGTATCTGCAGGGTTTCCCTCTTGATCCATTTATTTGCACAGATTTTAATAAAGAGCTGTGCTCAAATTCATACCTGGTGAAGGTAAATGAGCCAGCTCTGATGTCCTGCAAGCCTTTCAAAAATGGTAAAAACAGCTAAAATATTAGAGTAAATCTAGATTTCTAACTATCTTCAGAAAACAACTCAAAAGCTGAACGACAGCCTGCTGCACTTCAACACGTTTCAGCAGCCTTTAAATCTAGACGAGGTCACATATTTAGCTGAATTTTCTGTGGTTTGTAATATTAGAGCGGCAGAAATTTAATTCACTCTCCGGATAATTGGAAAAAGAAATGCAGCCACTTAAATCTAAAAACTGTTCAGAGTCAGTTAGTTTAGTTTGTTTTACAGAGTAAAATACCCAAGAATCAGAATCAGCTTTTACTTTATCACAAAGTTAAACAAACTAGAGAAATTGCATTTCCTGTGAATATGCAGTGTTAATGCTTCTTGCTGAATAACTTGCTGATAAACAGCTTAAATTAGCTAAAAACATAATGAAATGTAGCTGAAATGGAAGAACAAGCCTAAGTTAGCAGAAGAACGCAGAAAGAACGCATATTTGCTGAATTAGGTTTAAATAAGCAGAAATTAGCACAAAATGAGGAAATTATCTAAAAAAGGTGAAATTAGCTAAAAAAAAAGCTGAAATGTAGCTGTAAAGGCAAAGCTTAAATTACCAGAAGGAAGTGGAAAGAGCTGAAATGAGCTCAAGAAATGTGGAATTAGCTGAAGAAGTTAGAATAACAAGCTGAAATTAGCTTCTTTTTTTTTCCCCACGAAATACTTGAATTGAATTTAGTTAAAAATTCTAAAAAACATAGCTGAAAACTTAGAAGAGGATTAGATTAGCAGAAGAAAGCAGAAAAAAAAACATGTTAGCCCAATTAGGCTGAAAGAAAAAGAAATGAGGAGAAAAAGGTAGAAATTTTCTGGAAAAAAGCTGAAATTAGCAACAACAACAAAAACTGCTTAAATGTGGCTAAAAAGCATAAAGAAGCTCAAGTTACAAGAAGGAAGTGGAAAAAGCACATTTTTCCTGAATATGGCTGAAAAAGTTTAAATGAGTGCAAAAAATGTGGAATTGGCTGAAAAAGCTTAAATTAGCATAAAAACAGCTATTGTAGCTGAAATAGCAGAAAAAGCTGAAACTAGCAGAAATAAGCTGAAAGGAGCCAAACAAGCTAAAATTAGGAGAAAGAAGTTAAAAGAAGCACAAAAATGTTGCAGTTAGCAGAAATAATCCTGAAAGGAGCACAAAACAGCTGAAACGAGCTGAAAGTACCAGTAGCTGAAAAAACGTTTACCGGTAAGTATGCACAAAGAAGCTGAAAGAAGCTGAAAAATGTGAAAGTTGCAGTAAAAGGTTGTAAACAGATCTAAATATGTGAAGGATGTAAAATGAGCTCAATTAATTTTCTATGAGGGGAAAAAAGTGTCAGAAAAGGCTAAATATTTCAAAAAGCTAAAGCTGCACCAATACCAAAAGTCATAGCAGGATTGTCCTGAAAGAGCCGAACGTTTTGATTTATGATTTGTTGAAATAGTTTTAAAACTGCAGGATGAAAAACATACAGAAGAAAATTGGATCACAACAGTGTGACTACTTCACAAACATTATCTCTGTTACCTTTAGGGGTTTTTGGACAGAGTGGATTTTAACGGACTAAACGGACTTCTGTTCTTGCAGGATTGCCGACCCGGACCAGCCGGTGCTGTGGTTAGACCAGATGCCAACCAGGAGCCTCAGTCGAGGCTTCAACAATCACATCAACCTCATCAGGTAACGAGTCGAGCTTAACGAGCCCCCAGGAGGACTGTGATTTCAGCATGACCTCAGTCCCAGTTTATGGTTGGAAAACGCTCATTTAAATTCACTGCTGAAGTTTCACTTTCTCCTTCAGGGGGCAGATCATCAACATTAGATACCTGGCCTACTTCGACAACATCCTGGAATTCATCAAAGACAGAATACTAGTTTACCACGGGTAAATTACACCGAACACACAGTTCTTTCCTTTACTCACCAACACTTTAAAACAATTTTAAAACAAGTCTTAAAATTACCTGATTTAATCTGTATTAGGGCGTACAACCCAAGAGGGCTGCTGGAAATGCGGCAAGCTCTTGAAAATGTGAATAAAGTAGAAGATCTGCTTCCTATAATGAAGGTAAGAAGAAATCAAATGAATTTAATCAGGAGGAGAACGATAGCCAAGAGATTATTTATGATTAAATCATTGTTTGGTTGTTCAGCGGTAAAACTCCAGGATGGTTGTGTTTATTTTCTGAAGCAGTTCAACAGTAAAACCAGAGATGGATTCACCGTCAACTCCAAGGTGCCGAGCATGAAGGATCCTGGGAAGGAATACGACGGTTTTACCATCACCATCACCGGAGACAGGTAACTTTTACTGGGACTGTGGGGGTCTGGAAAAGGAGGTGGGGTCAGGTTTTGGAAATGCATTGTGCTATAGGTATGAAAACAAGAAAATTCTAAGAATATTTACTGGAATAAAAACTAGAGAAATTGCATTTCCTGTGAAAATGCAGCGTGAATGCTTTTCGTTAAAGAATTAGCAGAAAAATAGCTGAAATTAGCTTAAAAATGACTGAAATTGGCAAACGTTAGCTGAAAGGTAGCTGAAAAGGCAGAAATAATTTTAATCTAGCAGAAAAAAAGGAGCAGAAATTACCAGGAAAAACTTGAATTTATCTGAAAACAGATGAAATTGCTAAAAAGGTAGCTGAAAAGTTAGAACAAGCTTAAAGTAGCAGAAGAAAGCAGAAAGAGCACGTTTGCTCAACTATGCTGAAAGGAGTAGAAATGAGCTCAAAAAAGTGGAAATTATCTGAAAAAAGCAGAAATTTGCCACAAAAAAATAGCTGGATAGTAGCTAAAAAAGCAGAAAGAAGCTGAAATTACAAGAAGGAAGTAGTGAGCACATTTTTGCTGAATTAGGCTGAAAATAATTGAAAAGAGTGCAGAAAATGTAGAATTAGCCGAAAAAGCTTAAATTAGCATAAAACAGCTAAATAGTAGCTGAAATCGCAGAAGTAGCTGAAACTTGCAAACATAAGCTGAAAGGAGCATAACAAGCTGAAGTTAGCTGGAACAAGTATGAAGAAGCACAACTATGTTGTAGTTAGCAGAATATAGCTGAAAGGAACACAAAACAGCTTAAATCAACTGAAAGTAGCTGATTTTTTTTTTAATTTGCACAAGGAAGCTGAAAGTAGCTGAAGCAGAACAAAATGTGAAAGGAGCAGTAAAAGGTTGTAAACAGATCTAAAGATTTGAAGGATGTAAAATGAGCTCAATTCATTTTTTATGAGAGAAAAATGGCAGAAAAGGCTAAATATTTAAAAAAGCTAAAGCTGCACCAGTACCAAAGGTTTGTCCTGAAAGAGCTGAACGTTTTGATTTATGATTTGTTGAAATAGCACAAAAATTGTGGAATGAGATCAGTGCTAAAAAAAAACACGGATAGTAACGATAAGAAAAATATAAACAGGATCACAATAGTGTGAATGTTTAATAAGCATTCACACAATGAGATGTTTGTATGTTAAAGATAAAAAGTTAATGGAGATAATTCTGGCTCAGAGAATAGCAAAGAAATTGTCTTTAAAATAAAAAATGTTGAATTTTTAAAAAGACTCACAGGTAATAAATTATTTACAAGTTTTCTATATATTTTGACAAACACAAAGTTGTTTATAGATATATTTCAGTTTCTTTATACCTTTAAATTTTAAATGAATGTGTGCCGAGTGTAAAAACAAAAAAGCAAAAGTAAGAACTGGAGAAATTATTTTGGTAAATGGAATACATATCAATAATTTAAGCGTTCACTAGAAACATTATTTAATGAGTTTAATACTTTTCAGCTGAAAGCTTCAACAGTTTAACTTCCTCTATGCTGACTTTTAATCATGTTTTTGTGTTTTAAAATGATTTTTTTACGTCTGAATCTTTTTAGGGTGGGAAACATGTTGTTCTCTGTAGAGACTCAGACCACAGAGGAGAGATCGGAGCAGTACCAGTCGGAGGTCGAGTCCATCTACAAAGACCTCACAGCCAAAGGAAAAGCACTGATGCTGTCCACTGAACTGGGGGTAAGATTTACATTTCGAGGTTAAAAAAACATTTATAAAGTTAAATCTTACATTAAAGGCTTTCTACGCTTGCAGAGATCAAATCTAATTACAGAGATTTTTACTGAATATGTGTTGATTAGTTGATTTTAAGACTTTATTGGTGTCCTCGAACCCTGTGGTTCCCGAACTTTTGATTGTTTTACCTACAAAAAGACGCGTTTGACTTGTGACCAAGACTTGTGCTGGATGAAGTAAACAAACGTTGACAATAAGACGTTTACCAAGCGGAGAAAATGCATTTTCTGTGACAACGCAGTGCAAATTCAGCGCGCTGGAAGACTTAGCTGAAGTTTACTGAAGACGCTGAAACTCAGTTGATGAATCTAAAGGAAGCAGAACAGTAAAAGAAAGTGAAATGCTAGCTTCAAAAAATGCTAGCTAAAAGTAGCAAAGGGTCTGGCTAAAAAATAAAAGTAGCAAAATGCTAGCCAAAACCAACAAAATACTATAAACTATGCTAGCTAGAGGTTAGCTAAAGCAAAAAAAATGCCAAAGGCTAGCTAAAGGCAAAATGCTACCCATAAGCTATAGTAGGTAAAGGTTAATTAGAAGCAAAAACTGAAAAGGCTTGCTAAAAGCAAAATGCTACCCATATGCTATGGTAGCTAAAGGTTAGCTTAAAGCAAACAAAGCAAAAAGCTAGCTAAAGGCAAAACACTAGCCATAAGCTATGGTAGCTAGAGGTTAGCTAAAAGCAAAAAGCTAGCCAAGGGTAACATGCTAGCCATAAGCTATGGCAGCTAGAGGTTAGCTAAAAGCAAAAAAAAAGAGCAAAATGCTAGCTAAAGGCAAAATGTAGCAAAAGGTTATCTAAAAAATAAGTGTCCAACAGCTTACTAAAAACAAATGTAGCCAAATATCAACCTAGAGCAATCTTAGCAAAAGTTAGCTGAAAGCAAAACGTAGCAAAAGGCTAGTGAAAGGCAAAAAAATAAAACTGGCTAAAAGTTTTTTTTTTGGCTGCTTCCTTTCTCTCAGTGGTTGCCCCAGAGAGTGATCTCGCACGAGGATTTGGCGATTGTTTCACACCGGATGCCCTTCCTGACATGACCTCTAATGAGCCACCACTGCCCACATGTGTGGAGCAGAGAGCTACCATGTAGGGCACTCGGAGGGGGGGGGCAGGTGATGGTACTTCACCTTTCCCCACCCTAATTTGGTTAAAACGGTCAGAGAACAGACTCGTCTTCTAAGAAAAAGCTACCTAAAAGGTAGCTAAAGGCTTGCTAAAAGCTACATGTAGCATAGCGAAAGCAATTAAAAGTAGCACATGAAGACAAAAATAGACGCTGAAGCAGATTTTCAACAGAACAACGTTTTTGAATAAGCAGAAGAGCTCTTCGTGTATTTCTGTGGAGAAAATATCTGTAAATAAAATTGGTTTGAAAAGTATAAAAGTTACAAAAAACAAAAGTCACAGCCCCATCTCCCGAACAAGCTGAAGGTTTAGCTATTTGAACGTCAGAAACAGCCCAAAAGTATGCAGATTGCAAAAAGGCATACAGAAAAAAAGTAAATTAAAAAAACAGTAGAAGTATTTTGAGACTGTTTTAACCTTTTCAAGATTTTCCCACACCTTCGTCTTTAAATTGTTTTCTTTGTATTTGCAACATAAAAAAGACCCGTTAAGTCCAAATGATGAGTTTGCGGCTGACGCTGACCTTGTTTCTTCAGGTCAGAACTCTTAATCTGAAAAACTCGTTGATTTCCTCTTTAAATGAAACATCATCCGAGCGTTCCCTGTCCTCTGAAGCGTTTGAAAACCGTTGTGTTTGGATGCCTTCGCTCTGATCAGTAACTCAGTCAAACCAAGGTCATGTGTGCAGAGAGGCTTCGTCCGGGCGGCCTCTTGACCCTGCAGCTCTGGTCTCTTCTTTCAGGACGCAGATGCCGTGTGCAACTTGATCCTCAGCTTGGTTTATTACTTCTGCAACCTCATGCCTCTCTCCAGAGGATCCAGGTAGGTTCAATGCAGTTTCAAAACACAAGAACAGATTTTCAAGGTTTGGGTTCTGTGGGAGTGAATTCTTTGTGTTTGGGCTCAAATCTACTTGGTTAACAAGTAATAAACAGATGTTTCTCCTCAGTGTGGTGGCGTACTCTGTGGTGATGGGGGCCCTGATGGCCAGTGGGAAGGAGGTGATTGGTAGGATCCCTAAAGGAAAGGTAAATTAATTTATTTTTGTTGTTTGACAAACCTTACTTACATTAGTGTGTAAATATTTTATTACAAAAACGTAAAAAATGAACAAATTATTTTACATCAAGGGAGTCCAAACGTTTTCATATGTGGGCCAAAACTATAAAGATGATAGTGGGCCACAAAAATGTGAATTTAACTCGGTGTGATCAATATTTTAGAGAAAGATCAAATTTACTAATATTGGTGGAGAAAGAGTTTTAAATTGCTGTAGATCCAAAACATTAGAAGCCTCATAAACACTAAGCTTACATTTTTTATTTAAAAGGATTTGATTTATTTGATTTTTTTGGGTCTATGTTTGTTGTTTTCTTGTGTTTGGAAAGTTAATTTTAGTCAGTTAATTTTAGGCCTGTCACAATAACAAATTTTGCTGGATGATTAATTTTCTCAGAAATTATTGCGATAAACGATATTATTGTTTGAAATTTGACAATAGTCGGTAATTATTGTCAAATTTAAGACAACGTTTTGATTAGTTTTTGTGTGTAGTACCTTTTTTGACCACTATATGGCAGTATAAGACCATTTGAATCGAAGGATGGATAGTGAGGGAGCGAGCAGCGTGTCTCTTTAATAAAAATAGAAGGGAGTCCCCTTGACGTGACATGGGCTGACTCTCATTACTTTCTTCGGTTTTCAAAATGGCGGACGCTCGATGTGGTTTAAGCTGTTTAGCATAGCATTTTTCACACAAAGCTTTTAATAAAAAATCAGTGACTCATATTCTGTGACCAGGTGAGGGTAGGATCGTAGACCGAGCGGTTAATGGGGGGCTTCACCTTGCAGCTCAGCTCCCTCTTCACCACAACCGACCGTCACAGCAGTACTGAGGAAGCTGCACCGATTCATTTGTTGATCTTACTCTCCATTTCTAGTTCAGCTAGTGCTAGTTTCTGGGAATTCCCAATTGGCTTGAAACGCATCAAGAAGGTGCCATTTATAAGACGGATCTGGGTCGGCAGGCCTCAGACTAATGAAGTATTCCGGATGAAAGACGAAACATTTCTCCCAAAAAGAAACTGTCCAGATGACATGATTTAACCCGTTTTTGTGACTTACTCTCCATTCTTCGCTCACCCGTGATCCTTGACTTATGGCAGCACCTCACTCCCAACACAGAGAGGGCAGTTCACCCTCTTCTGACTGAAGACCAGGACCATGGCCTCAGATTTGGAGTTGCTGATTCTCATCCCGGCCACTTCAATTCTGGATTTGACAGGGAGCCAATGGAGAGAAGCTAAAACTGGAGAGATGATCTCTCCCATTAACTCCAGTTAAGACTCTGGCAGCAGCATTTTGGATCATCATCTCATCATCAGTATGAGAATACAGTGCAGATTGTTATACTTTATGAATGCTTTGTCCAGCCAACCTTTAAGTAACAAACCATTCCATAATGTTCGTCTGACTCTTGACTGCATTTCAAACCGAGTCTTTGTGTTTTTATTTTTTCAGCTGGTGGATTTTGAGGCCATGACGACTCCTAATCCAGAGAGCTTCAGCAAATCAGCAAAGAGCTGGATGAATCTGAAAAGGTGCAGCGAGGAAACATTTGTGTTTGTTGTTCTGCTGCGTGACGCTCAGCCTAATCCGAGCCCCTCTGCTCCTCTGCAGTTTACCCAGTTGGTACCAGAGTCTTCCGTCTGTAGCAGAGACCTTCCCGTCCATCAGAACCATGATCGAGGTCCTCAACACAGACTCGTCCTCACATTGTCCAAAAAAGTCTTAACACAACTTCCAAACTGAAGAAAAGTCTACGAGTTTGAGCTTCTGCAACCCAAACGGCACAGGAGGAGAAAAAATATAAAATAGCACTATAGATACGTTTGTTTAAATTTAAATAAAAATAAAAGCCATCCTGTTTTGTGCACTTTGGGAAGCAGCTGGTGTTTAAAATCAGAAGCAAAGTTTCTGTTTCAATGAAGTGTGATCTGGTTTGTCAGATGTGACCGTTAATCTTGTTTTGGTTCCTAATTGCTGACAGTTTTCCATCATCTCCCACAAAACTCATCCGTTTTCTCTCGATGCTTGCTGAAGTTCAAAACTCTTATCACCAGCATTTGGGCTCATTAACAGAAATACTTGGATGCAAAATGTGTTTGGCTCCACGTAGAGACAAAAACCGAAATTATTTCACGTTGTTGCTTTACAGACGTTTCATATCTTTTCCACGGATTTTATTGAAAGTAACAGCAGCTCATGTCTCGTCACTCAGGCTCATTTTTCTTTTAGCTCGAAGAACAAATCAATTAATTACAGACATCTGGAGGAACAAGAGAGGTTGGTTCAAACAGGAAGTTCTGGTTTGTTGGGGATGTCGAAGCGATCCGGTCCAGCTCGCTCCTTCTCTGCTTCGTAGGCTGAATTTATTTTAGACCAGAGTCTAAAACAGTTCCGGGCTCTGTCAAGAATGAAAAACAACTTATTTGAGTGATTTAACTCTGGACTGCAGCAGTCTATCAGCAGAGAACGAATCAGGTGGAGTTACGAGAGAAATGGAACAAAAACCTTCAGGGCTCCTGAGTTCTTCTCTTTTAGTTTGTCAGCACTTCCATTATCGGCTGTTCAGCCCTGCACTGATTGAACAAGTCAGCTCGGTGACTCCCAACCCTGGTCCCTGAGGAACACCATCCTGCATGGTTTAGTTGCTTCCTACACTTTGACACGCCTGAGTTAAATCACTGAATCAGGTGTGTTGGAGCAGGGAAACAACTATAACATGCAAGATGGTGTTCCTCAAGGATCAGTGCTGGGAGCTGCTGAGTTAGCTAAAAAATGCACACGAGCATCGGTCAGACTTTAGAGAACTGTCTGAGTCGGATCACGCTTTCTCACAATCGACTTTTATTAAAGTAAAGGGCTGATTTTAGCTGATTTAACAACATTTGCTTGTTCTGGCTACCCAATTAGGAGTAAATCGGTTTTTAATCATTTTGAATCCTCGTCAAAATAATAAGTTATTTTCTAAACATTTTAGGAGTTAAATTAGAAAGTTTAAAGGAACGTCTTCCTTGTTTTTTTTTTCGGATAAGGCACATTAAGCGAAATAAGTTCATTTTGACCGATTTTTGAGTTCGGTGTACCACGTACAATCGGTTTGAGGTCAGTAAGCACAACTAGAATTAATACATAAGACGCAGTGGATTATAAGACTCACTGTCGATTTTTGAGATTATTAAAGGATTTTAAGTGCGTCTTATCGTCCGAAAAATGCGGTAATATTTTTTGGTTGACACTCTAAAGAAGATGATTAAAACCTAATAATTTAGTTAAAAATCATTATTTTTATAGTTGTTTTTGGTAGAAGTACATAATACAATCCCATACTTGCCAAGTTCTTGTTACATACTCTGTAAATACCAGGTACGTATTCAGATGAGTATCAGATAAGTACATGGTATGTACTGTTAAGTATTCAGTAAGTACCAGGAACAAATCCTGCAATATTCCCAGGAAAATACTCTATGTACTAAATACTTCCTTTATATATACTAGGTAAGTAAAGGGCAACAAGTTGCTTCATAAACCAGCCTGGTCCACATAGGTACCAGTCTGTATTACGTGGTATAAAGAGTTAAGTATCGTGTACGTACCCTGTAAGCACCAGGTACCTGGTACATACCAGTCTGTATTACCTGGTATAAAGAGCTAAGTATTGTGTGCGTACCCTGTAAGTACCAGGTACTTTGTACGTACCAGGGTGTATTACCTGGTATAAAGAGCTAAGTATCATGTGCGTACCCTGTAAGTACCAGGTACCTGGTACGTACCAGGCTGTATTAC